TGTACAGCATGTGCGCTAATTTCTACTCTGGTCCTTGGTGACCTTCGTAAGAATCTAATACTCTAGCTTTTGCACCATGACAAGCTGTAAATAATTATTTAATATAATAATATATAGTTAATAAAATATTATCAAAAATTGCGCGAGTTTTCCATTATGCGAAGGATCGCCAGGATTATGGCTAAGACACGTGTCACGTGTCACGTGAGAAAAGCTTTCGTAAAGGCTCGAGTGCAAAATTTTTAGCGGTGATACCAAACTGAACCGTATTTTTATTGTTACAAAGTTGCAACGATCTGCGATATTTCCAATGAGTGTCGCACAGTTTGCCATTTTATTAGGAATACCTATTGGAAGTTGCTGAACCGCACGATGCTAACGTTACGAAATGACAGTCGGATATCGCATTACGTCTTGTATTCACAGTAGCAGAATCGTTACAAATCGTTTGCATGTATCATCAAAAAAAGGAGAATCAACCATTGCGAAATCACCAAGGATTTCAATCGTACGTTTGCAGTGAGTGTTATATTTCCAATATCGAAATCATCATGTTGTACGGTATTGTGAAAAACACAAAACTGCTGATATATACAATATTGCCACAGCTGCAAAATGGCGACGATATCATGTTGCTCACCTACAGCAGACATAAAACGAAGATAAAGTATCGCACATGTAAGTAGATAATGGCTGATCCTGATCGGACAATGTTCTCGAAAAATGGCATGTATTGATATAAATCGCGATGTTGCAAGCATCCGAAAATTAGCCACGAATGTTCAGCGTTTAGTTCCGTCATTAGCCGCCTAATGGACCTGTGCGTCACCGTGCTATGGCTTATGGCCTGTGGAAACGAGTCCGGTCCAGGCGCGCAAAGGGGGCAGCTTAGAGTAGGAAGTCGGCGGTAATTAAAGGCGCTTCTCATCAACAATGTGGAGCGAAGTCCCGGCTAAAAGGCCCTTCCGGCCTCGAGCAATCAATCGTGCTTTTTAAAACCTCTTCTTCATCGTATCGTTTCGTGGTCTCCCAATCGAGCAGCTTAATTAATCGTCGACCAACCAATCACGTGAATAGGACGTGAATAGTCTCTCTCTCTCTCCCTCTCTCTCCATCGTTGCACGGAACGATGCATTCTCGAACGAGACGCTCCATGCTGGCATGTCTTTTCGAAACTGGCTATTGCGCAAACGGCGTGAGTAAGTAGGTAGACTATTCGTTTCTTGCACAATCGGTCGTGTAGTATGGTTATACGGCATTGACGCGCAGAGTGAAGAAGAGAAGTAGATATATCTGAATGGTTGCAAAGGACGCCGTCGTCGCCTTGATCGTGGATCGAAGAGCTTCGTTGATCGCCGAACTATGCGGTCGAATCGAGTTTCGACACTGGCCGCTGCACCGGCTATAAAATGGAGATTTGTAACCTGCCGACCGTCCACCGGAATTATATAAGTTGTTCGTACGCCCTTAAAACGCCCACGGATCGAGATTTCAACTTAAACTAATTCTTCTGGTAAGCTCATGAGACACGTAATTACGTGCGTTCATGAACGAGTGACCAAAGTTCGATCGAAAGTGCGTTTTCAAATTATTTCAGAATTTATTTGAAATAATTGTCCTTTTTTTAAAATTTAAGATTAATAAGTTTACTTTCGTATGAACTTATTGCAGGAATCAAAGTGTAAGCTTCTCGTTCGTCGCCATTGAGGATTCGCGCGGTAGAACCTCTCATTCGCAAGCACCACGTGCTCCCGTATGCGTTCAAACGATAGTAAACGCGTAAATATCCTTCAACGTCCATTACCGCGGGAAACCATGAGCTCAATTATTGAATTGGATTGTATTAAATCGCCACACGGTGTTCGTAAAGGTCGTTCGAGAAGCTGGTCATCCTCCCTGATGTCTGACGAGCTTTGAAACCGTTTCTTCCATGGATGGTTCATTAAATCGCGCTTAGCCGACCCGCGGTGCTCGTGTTTGTCGTTATTATCGCCACGCTAGACGGATCAATTACGCCCACGCGAGGCCAGGCCGAGTCCGTTCGCGGCATCGAACAGATTTACATTTCCGCGCAAAAATTGCGTTAATGACAGCGTGCCGGCGCAACGGAGGAGATGCACGCAGTCGGTGAATCGAACCTTGGAGGATGATCAAGTAATTTATTCTTTCCCTCTACCTCCTCCCCGCCCCCCTCCGCCATTGTCTTACTCTCTCTCTCTCTCTCTCTCTTTCTCTCATCTTCTGTGTTCTGTTTCTTCCCCTGCTCCTCTTTAACTCTGCTGCTCTCTCACAGTCCGTCCTCTTCCCACCGGACCATCGACAACTGTCTCTTTCTCCCTCCGTCCCGGCGTATCTCTCAGTTAGACTTCGTAGAAGGACGCTACCCCTCCAAACGTCGAGCGGGATGCTGCTGGTGGGACGAGCAAAGCGAGTACCAGCGAGTCGTTCACCTTTTATCCCAGTAACACGAAGTCGTAGCCGCGAGCGACGACGGGCGACAAACTACAAACTGCACGTTCTCGCGGTATATCTACACGACCGATGGCAGTACTGTGCTTTATTTGTATCGGCCGATCAGATGCCGGCGTGTACCAACGTCCCCGTCCTCCGCCGCCGGTCGCGTCTCTTTCTCCTTCTCGCTCCGTCGACGCTTGCGCCCCGTCCTCTTCTTGTTCCTGAGTCCGTTAGGGTCGTCTCGTTGCTTCTTCTTCTTCTTCTCGCTCCTCTAGTTCTTCTTCAGCTTCTTCTTTCGAGGACAAAAAGTTCTCGCGGCTCGTAAAACTGATGGACCAGGAATCCGTGGCTCTACCGAGTCAAATCAATGTCCCTACAGGGTTGGAAACGAAACTTTTCTCTCGAAACGAAGGGGTTAAAACGGAAGTGATTTACGACAGGGAGGCTTTACCAGCCCCCATCATGTAAATTAACAACGTTCGGCTGTTACGTTGATTCTCCTTTTGCACGCTTTGCACGTCTCGCCAACGAATAGAGATAGAATAGAGGAACGTTTCGTGCACAATGAAATGGAATGGAAATCAGCTGCTATTAGAAGCAGATTCGCGAATCTTTGCGAGTATTTACGATCAGCGGTAGCTCTGAAAAGTTACGAGAAACAGCGCAACTTTATCAAACGATCCTTTGGATTATATGATAGTCTGCGGAAGGACCTCGCGTACGACGAGATCAGGGGCTCCGTGGTTCAACAATTGTTGATCCGATATGGGTGCGCAGGAGGTGGAACTTGGCGGAGGTGAACCGTCTGGGGCCACCGGTCATTGTCTCCTGTGCAAACGAGGAGCCACGGTATGGCCTGTTGTCTTAATGGGGCCAGAACGGTAACTGCGGTGGGGCCACACCCTTAATCCGCACCGGCACTTAAGAATAGTTGCGACGCGCAATAAACGCTTTGGCCGTTCGTAAGCCTCGATCCTTTTCTACGTGTTCGAATAGCACGCTGGAAACATGGTAAAACCAAGTATAGAGAAGAATAGAGAAAGAGAGTGGTTGGGGGGGGGGGGAGAGAAAGAAACAGACGACAACAACGCGAAGAAAAATCCCTTCGAGATGATGCGTTTACGACTTTCGAACGTCGACACAGCGTTCGACGGGGATTTAGAATGAAGGGTTAGTTCGTAAAAGTCTCGTATTTCACGCAGGTGTGAAAGCTGCCGAGACGTTGCTCTTCTCTTTGTTAGCGACCTGTGATATTTAATTCAACTAGATACGAACGTATTTGTTGACAGGGGTGACAAAGTCTACCGATTTTTTGACATTTCCGTCCGGTTACGTAAGCGTCTGGTTCGACCGATCCGAGACGTACAGCCTATTAGCTAACGAGCTTCCTTATCGAGAGCATTAGGGCTGGAACGAAGGGAAGTCTACGAATTCCAGTTCGTAGGACGAACGTAGGAAGAGGCCGTGCTTGGCACGAACCGGCGCTCGCGATGATTTAATGCACGCTCGAGTTTATTTTCGTAGCGTATGCGTACCAACGCTGATACATCTCTGAATACGTTCGGTCAAGTCGTTTCAGGACGTTTTCGTTTTGCGAGTTTTGAGATTCGTCGCAACGAATCAGGTGAATAACGCATTTAAGATTACAAAACTCGCAAAACCGAGACATAACGTTGTCTACGATTATCTTCTTTTCAAACGATAAGCGAGTAAAAGCGATTTTATCAGAAAGAAGAACGACGACGGAGAGGAAGGGGAGAAGAGATTATCAAGTACGTTCTGATAACGTACGTCTTGTTCCCTGCGCGCACCGTGCCGCCCGATAACGACCGAATCGATTTTACACGAGGTCAATGAATTCACCGAGCTGCAGAAATCGCCACGTCGTCGTACGTCTCGATGTTTCCACCGGTGGAAAATTCGTCCGAACGTTCCAGCGATCCAGTTTTCCATCCGGGAAACGTGGTCGCATACTTTGCCAACGTTCGCGCGAACTTTTTGCCCCGTCGATTGCGAGCCAGCCGCGGCAACGGCGAGCTAAAGACCACCACGGCGCAAGCAAGTGGAACGAGACGTAAACGCGGCTGCACTACCCGAAAGATAAACGTCATATAGTCGATCGTTCATTCACTACCTCGAAATTCCAATTTCGAAATGAAACGCCGGTGAATCAGAGCCGTGAGATCTAGAGATTCATGTGCGTGCACAGGAGCAACGATACAACGGAGCAGTTTCTCGCGTGTGATGCAGTTCTCGGTGCTCCGTTGGAAGAAAATCGACCGAAACGCCCTGTTGGAGTTTTCGCGACGAATCCCTCTCGTTTCGTGCGGTAAATTATCTCGCCCCCTTGGTCGGTCGCCGGGTCTCGTCCAATCGGTCGTGAAAATGTTATGCTGAAGCCCCGAGTGGAAGCGTCAGCCGTTCGGAAGTGTCTCTCCCTTCCTCGAGAGTGACCAACGAATCCCACTTTCCTCCCCACGTAGTGGGTCCCCGATCCGGTACACTCGTGGGGGTTGGGCTCGTCCGGACGATATATCGGGGGAAATTTTCCGAAAGCTTGATCGGAGTGCCGATTGCCGGTGTAGCCGGTGGCGTCGACCAATCAGCGTCGCCCCCGGTCGAGCAAGTGGGGGTCAGCCGAGACTTAAGCGAGGCCACTCGCCGTGGAGCTGTCAGAGCTCTGTGGGGCACGGTCACGCACACAGCAGCCGGTCTTTTTCGGGGCTTTCTCAATATATTTTTTTTCCCCTCTCTCTATTTTGCGTTCTGTTTCACACAGTTTCGTACGTTTCACGTTTCGCGGCAGTCCGCAGCTTACTGTCGGTATCGTCGAAATCGTTCGTCTCTCACTGTGCACGCTTACGCCTGACTTCGTCTATATTTGATCGTGCTCGTGGATTCTTCAGCTCGTGGAGTGCATCCGGAGTCGACGAGCCTTTGGCGTTGTTTTCACCGCCGTTTATCCAGCAGACAGTTAATTGATGCACGTAAGAGCCGGTGCTGTCGAGTTAACTGGGTGGAAAGATATGGCTCGTCAGTTGGACCCTACCGGCCAATACTGAACGAAACGTTGTTCTTCCATCTTCCAGGAGAGAAACTCGCAAGAAACGGAAGACTTCGGTTCATCTCTTTGTCTCCGCACCAGCACTCGTGACACTGTTAATATCATTCGCGTTGACATCATGGCATCTGGATTGGACCCCACAGGACTTTACTGAATACCACGGTGAAACCAGAAGAGCTGGAAACAACCTCTCCCCACTCTACAGGCAGAGCAACCGGAGAGATAGCCGATCGAAATACCCGCGTCCCGTGGCCAGTTTCCGTCGAGTCGATTATTTATACGTACAAGTTGAATCGAGACGCATCCTGCAAAATGGCTGGACTCGATCCGACCGGTCAGTACTGAAGGGAAGTGGAGGTAGGTCGAGGAGGAGGATTCCGGAAGAGACGAGGAAGTAATCGAGAGAGTCGAGGTACCTCAAGGTCGCGACATGGCTGCCAGCACAGGCCTCGATCCCACCGGCCAGTATTGAAGACTCTCTTTCTCTCTCTCTTTCTCTCTCTCTCTCTCTCTTTTTTCTTTCTCTTTCTCTTCAGTCTCCTAATTATCGAAAAGAGGGGACCGGCAGACGGTGTCGAAGACGTGAAACGACGTGAAATCGAAGATGGGACACGCGAGGGGAAGAGAGAAAATCTCGACCTCGAATCTGAGGAGACCCGAATGGAGCATCCACATACGGAAGGGAAGACATCGCCGTTCTCCATTCTCGTCTCATCAATGAAGCGCTCGGAGATCGTCACTGCCTGCGTCTAAGAGGTCAGTCAGTTAATTACTAGTTCTCGTGCCCGTATTTATAGAGCAGCTTGCTCTCTCTCTCTCTCTCTCTCTCTCTCTCTCTCTCTCTCTCTCTCTCTCTCTCTCTCTCTATCCACTCATCGGCTCTCTTACCGGCTCATCGATCGACCGGAATTCAACGACGTTTCTTTCTCCCGTTTCTTCTCCTATCACCTCTCCCCTGCCCCTCCCATTTTCTACCTCTTTCACCTAGACTTATCCGCGCGAGGGTTAATCACCGACTGGTAGATCGCCATCGTTACGGTCGTTGACGGATTTTTCTTATCGTCGATAGATGTTATCAAGTTGATAGATACGAGTTCACCTGTGTTCCGCTCTATTACGTAATGCTCGCCCGTACGGTGACATATGGTAGCGGTATTCTGTTTGCGAGTTTGATCAACGATTCTTATTACTTCGATAATTGCAACGAAATCGAACGACCTGCGAACGATCTTACCGCTTCTATCGAGTTACTCTCGAATTGAATGAAAATTCGAATTTCCACCTCTCTCGGTGATTTCTTCGCTCGAGGATGACGCGAGGCATACCGCGTTATCGTCGCGATCGAATCGCAACTACTTGAACTTCTCTTTCGGCGGTCAACCCTCCCACTTCGTTCGTTCTTGTCTCCCTCTCGAGTCACCTCCACCACTTCTACCTTGTTCGGCATAGCCGTCGCGGTGCTACTCGCGTCCAAGTCGCGAAAGAAGGGAGGATTCCTCTTCAAAGATTCGCTGACCCGCGCGTGACCGGCGACTCAAAACGGGGAGAGAAGAGGGAGCCGGTTAAGAACGAACACGCTGCCAGCTTCGAGAGCAATGCGGGAAGGCAGTTGTCTGATTTCTTCATGTTACGTCACGTTGTTCGAAATACAGGTGACATTCGCTGCCTTTGCCTTTTTCTTTTTTTCCTTTTTAAGTCCAAGACTAAATACGACCGATCAAAATTTCGATTGCGTAGAAATTGAATATTTGATAAGGAAAAATTCAACTTCAGAGACAGAAGATTCGTCTATCGTATGGTTTTCTCGTCGCGATTACGAGCAGGTGCTTTGCCACTCGGTCTAGAACGTTCACCTCTCTCTTTCTCTCTCCGTCTGCCGACAGGTACACACAGCCAAATATGTCGCTGCCGCGCGTAATTAGGGGAACTTCTCTCGTCTTCCGTACGTACATTGCCGCACGGTTTGCCTCCTTTCACGGTTTTGACGATTTTATCTATGTATCTTGCTTCGGGTATTGGTAGTTTATCGCACTTCCGTCTTCCACTTGTTGCTCTCTTACGTTATTACCCACCGCTTGCTCGTTCTCCGCGTGTTGTTCGACCCGCGCCTATTTACCACGTCTGTTGGCAAAAAAAATAGTCAAACGTCGTAGCTCTGGATCGAGAAAATCGAGTGCGATCGAACTCCGTTTGCAGGAAGCTGCGCTTCCTGGTCGCTGCGAGGCTTTCGCAAAGTCACGAAATTAGTCTTGGTTCCATGGGAAAGACAAGACCCCGATAGTGAGTATAAGCCGAGGAGGCCTCGTCCGACTCCTCACATAGCCGAGTTCATTGACACCAGCTGAGTTTTGGGCATTCACCGTCCCGTTCGTGCGCGCACGCCGACGATCGTGCCCTCCTCGTCAGGAATAAGCGATCGCTGGGCTCGTTCGTACGCGCTCGTTCGGTCGACTCGGTTCTCGCTCTCGGCTACCGGCGCGCGCGTTTCTCTCGCTTGAAAACGATCGTTTTCGTGTCGGTCGGCTCCCTCGCTGGCGGGAAACTCCGGCGAAAATTTTGCCAACCGGTCGAACGCGCTCCGTCGCGCGATCGTCGAAGAACGGGCAACTTTCATGAAAAACGTACCATACGTACGTATATTTTTATCCGCGAGCACATACTGATACAATTCCCCCCTGTTTCACACTCGCAATCGCGTAATTATTTTTATCGCCGCCCCCGCGTCGTTGCCAATCGATATTCATCTGGCGTGTTTTAGTAAAAGCCATAGAAAATCCACGACACCACTTCCTCCGAATCGGTCAGCATCGTTTTATCTCTCTGTTCACGAGCTAGTTACGAAAATGATGGACAGACGACAGCCACGGTGGACGGTCGGAACTTTCGTGCATCATTCGCGAGATGAAAGGACAAGGGAGAGTCAGAAGTAGAGAGAGAGGAGAGGAGAGGAGAGGAGAGGAGAGAGAGGGATTACGCGTGACCTAGGACAACATACCGCGCGACCTGCATGCCAATCGTTTCTCTCTTGCTCTCTCGCGTATAATCGCGTACATTCCTTCTTCCCTTCTTTTCCGCGCGTTCGCCGTGTCCACTCTTTACTCCGTTCTCCTTCGCGCCTGCCTCTTCCTTCTTTTGCGCTTCCTCTTTGTCCGACTTTGTTCGCCTGAAAGATTCGGACAGCGAGTCCCGTCGAAATATCGAACGGCACTCGTAATGAGATTCGGGCGTCTTATAATAGCCGAGCCGAGGGGATAAACGTATCGATAGTCCCGTGACGCATCGAGCCGATCGGTTTAGAGCGAAGCGCCGCGATGCTATCGAACCCAGCGCTCGCAGATTTTGGCAGTCAGGCATCTGAACGGGCCGATGCAGCTCGCATAACAATGGCGCCCCCGGATTTGAATTTGGTTACGTGCTCGGACACTGCCCGATTCCATGTCTCTCCTTCTCCACCTTCACCGCCTCCTCCTCCTCCTCCTCCTCCTTCTCTTCGGCCTACGTATCGAAAGCACGCGCGCACACGTGCACACACGGCGACGAAAAACTAAGGCTTGACTTTATTTGGCTTGGGCCCAGTGCCCACTCCGGTCCTCGTTCGTTGTTTCTTCAACAATTTCGGCCTCTTCTCTGTATAAAGATACTTGTCTGTCTTATTTTTATCCTCTCGCATTAGCAGGATAAACAGTTGGACGTAAAAATAAACAATACTACGGTCGGTGCCTCTGGGCAAACACGTGTTGTATTACTCGTCTTTTACCTACAGGTACGCGTAACAGCGCGACGAATCAATTAATACACGATCATCGATGAGGAATTGCGTTCGAAAGGGAAAGTTGACGATTTTTCTCCAAACCGCACGCTCGACGAAGAGATTATTCCCGGTATCGACCGATCAATTTCAATCTGATACAGTGGCAGCGAATCTGTTTTTTCCTTGCGGAAATTAATCGTGTCATGCTCCTTTTTTTTTACATGCATGGTTGTTTCTCTCTGTCTCTCTCTCGCGACACGAGATATGATTTATTGGTGAACAGAGCGACGTAAGCGCGTGAAACGGTGAACACGTAGTACCCACGACGTTTACATAAGCGTTAAACGACCGATCCGAGCGTCGCTCCATTTCTTTCTTCGTTCGATAAACAGGAGCAATGCATATATCGTGCTACATATTTTCAACGACAAGGAAAAAAAATGAAGAAAAAAATGAAAAAAAAATGAGGAAAAATGAAAAAAAAAGGAAACGGGGAAAAAAAGCTAAACGACAGCCTTGAACAACGTCACCGACGCTCGCAGCAGCGGTATTTAAGAGAAAAAAAAACGCGTTCTCGCGACTATACATGGCATTTTTTGTCCCCAGCACTCTATTCCGTTGCTTCGTAGAATCACGTTTACGCTCTGCGAATTGACCAGTTACAATGTGACACAAGACGGCGCGATAAAAGGCTAATAAGCAGCACCGGTTATTAGGACTATTAATATCGCGGAGCAAGATCATTAAATAGCGATAATCGCGCGAAGCGAAACGACTGAAAAGGAGCAACTCGCGCGCTCGCTGTCCGCGCACAAAGAGCAGTTACATACATACATACATACACGCGCGGTCTCGTGCCAGACATTCGCTTCATCCGTCCATTCTTTTTTTCAATTTTTTTACAATTTCTTCTCTCTCTCTCTTTCTTTTCTATCCTCTCTGGACGTCTGTCTAGTCGAATGGTCCGAGATATCCTCGGTCTGACCGGCGGCCTTTTTTCTCCAAAGATTCTACTACTTTTTTTCCCCCGGGCCTCTCGATCTTCTAGTTCGTACGGTCGCGCAGGAGGTTCGGAGGTTCGTTCACCTCGTTCCTCGATCTCGCCGCAAACTCTCACGGGTGTCTCTCGCACATACGCGTTGGCCTGGTGTGTGTACCGCGTCTAGCCAGACGGAACAACTAAGAAGATCGTAGCTCGTAGACTTTGGAAGCTTCGATTCGATATTCCACGAATCTCTCACACACGGTCGCCGCGTTTCCTTGCACTTGGTCGCTCTCCCGCGCAGCCTCGAAAATTCTTCCTCCGACTGCTGAACCGTTCCACGGTTGTGCACGATCGTCACACCGGGCGTCCTTGCGTCGCCGCGATTCCGTTTGCCTCGATTGCGATCCGTTCGCGGGTCGATTACGTCAAAACGCGTTCTCAAGTTAGCTCGCGTCGATCGGAGGCGGAGATGTTGTGACCGTGATGGATTTTCCTGGTGTCCTGGCTCTTGGCCGTGTTTTGGCATTTACGTGACCGATCGATCGATCAACGTTAGTCATCCGATCAACAAGTTGCGAATAATGTTCGTAACGAGAAACTTTCTTCAATTTGTACATCCCGGAATCCTAGTATATTCGACTCGAAATAAATGGAAAATTCGCGGAACTGCCGAGGCGAGCCGTGGAATCTTCAGCTAGCTGGCACCGCGGCGACCTTTCGCGGCGTGTCGCGTAGGTGGTAGATAAAAAACGCAACCTGCGGGATAGTGGATGCCGCGTGGAGGGGCCGGCGGAAAAGCATCGGAGACAGGTTGAAAAGGCCAATATCGGCACGGTGGTATATCTGGTGATTCTGCCGGAGGTAAAT